CGCGCTTCTGTAATTTCATGGGTACAAATAAGTTAAGTTAATTCTATAACTGTAGAGAGGGAACTCTAGAGAGGGAACTAAAGAATATTATTGCTCCTATTTGGTACAACACATTTAACATACTTCTATAACTGAATTTCTATGTTTATCACCGTTTCATGATAATAAAAAAGATATTTTACTTATATTACCTTCATCTGCAAGTTTTTTAGTTAAGTTAATTAGTTGTTTATTTTATTTTCAATTATCAAAAATCACAAAAAGAGTTGAACTTTTATTCCTATTTTTTATTCTTATTCCTATTATATCATCTTAAGTTTGAGTAAAAATATATATTGCTAAGTATTTTGTTATCTAAAACTAATCCTTCCTGTGGGTTCGATATTTGGGACATAATCAAAAAAAAAATCCTTCCTGTGGGTTCGATATTTGGGACTTAATCAAAAAAAATTTATATTACTTGATAACGATACATATAGTTGCATAGTATCCCATATTGAAATATTATAAATATAATTGCATACATCGCATTTTACATCTCTATATATAGAAAAACGGGATCATATACCTGCAACCAAAACATGAAAATACCCTTTTTTAAAGTACAATATCATAAAAAATAAACATAAAATTATAAAATGTATACTTAAACTAGCACATTATTTTGGCATATCAACCCTCTTGTTGTCGAAGCTGGTATTGTTGTATTCGGTCTGATGATGGCCGAAAATTTTTTTTGGATTGATGTTATTATAAAATGGATTCTTTAGTTTTATGGAATTGTTGTAGAAATTTGTTGAAGTATCATGCTGCATAGGAAGATGATAACATATTTCAATCAAAGACAAACAATTTGCTGGACTCATATCAAGAGATATGGTAATCGAGCAGCCAATTGGTGTGCTCAAGTTGGTGCTTTGCTGAATTATATTGTTTTTTTCTAAATATCTACCTAATGATCTTAATTATCTTTTTTCTTTCAACTTTTGAGTTCTTTTTTGTTGCTTTTCCCTGATGTTTGCTTGGTCTTCTTGGGTTATGTGAGTTGTATCCTTTTTTTTTTTTGGTAAGAGGAACTTAGTTTTTGTTTTGTGTGAGTTGTTTAGGGGTGTGTTGGTTCCTCTTACCCGATTTTGTAATTATTTTTTTGTGATATTATATAAGGAGTCGTATAATGCTTCTTCATTAAAAAGTATTAGCTTAATTTGTTCATAATTCAATGAATATAGAAGCCATCCAACACCTTGAGTTTCTTATTGCCATCTTATTCTCCTAAAATTGTGGCTCAACTATTTAACTAATTTAAAACAATGGAATTGTCTATGATATTTTAGAAGTAATTTGTCTACAACTAGTTATCTTAAAAATCTAAATAGCTTTCCAAGAGTTCCCATACGCAAAAAAGATTCCTACAGGGGTGCATCCTACTTCATGAAGTGTACTTATAGTGTTTAGCTTTTGAATAATTGGCAACCTGAATTAATTTTGATAAGATAAACAACATCACACTAGTTCAAGTACCATTATTATTTATTTATATCGCATTGGCCTATGCATGCAAGTATGTCAATTGTATTAATATGGTTCTCTTGTTTAACATAATGTAATTGTTATTGCACTAAACCAATAGAATTGTATTATGTAATACAATAGCTATTTGCAATGTTGGAAAGTGAAAATTTCATTTGCAACTTGTCATCCTGGTTGCAACAACTATTATGCATAAGTGACTAGAAAATAATTTATTGTAAAAGCCTCCAAGTGTTGGACATTTAATGGAATTAATTGTCACCTAATTTGGATTTGTTAAATAGATCATAAAGTGAGCCTCACTGAATATGATGGAGTTCAACTTTGTGACTTATTAAGCCATTGTGGAATTAACTTATTTTAATTGCCCATCACATCAAGTGGAAATAGAACATGAACAAGAATTATGAAGAATGTTCATTTTAAAGCCTATGAGGATGTCAAATATACAAAAAAAAAAGAATGTGAGTTCTAAATAAAAAACGGTGTGTCTAGATTTCTAATATAAGCAAAATATAATATATTTAAAGCTTGAAGACCTCATAAAAGGACCACATATTTTTCCATGTGCAAATTATGGTAAAATTTAGAAATACTATTTGCAAATGTTAAAAATTTCTAGTTCATATTTGGAGCACTTAAAGTTAGGTCAAAGTCATATTAAATTTGCTCAATTTAGTGCATCTAGAACACTACTTATCAAGAAAAACTAAAAACAAAATTCTATCAGTATACCTGAATTCCTGAAGTCATACAAAAGCATATTTCCTTCAAATTCGAGTAGTATTAAGCTAGATAAGTAGGAAAAAATAGCTTAAGCGTGATTGTTATCATTATCTCTGAACAAAAAAATCTTAAACAAACTTGGACTTTTGAACCATCACTATAGCAGTCCTAATGAATCATTTTAATTTGATTCCAACCTCTATGGTGTGTATTAGATTTAGCTTTTAAGCAAAAGCATTTTAACAATGAATTTTTCTTGCAACTACTTAGTGATCAATCGTAGTAAAACGAGACTCGAGCAACATATTTAATGATAAAAATTTGAGATTTAGAATGAAAGAAATTTAGTATTTTAATGCATAATATGATCTACAAACTGAACATGGCCAACAATAAGATCAATGTCAACATAATGGTTTAAAGACCCATTTTATTATTAGCCAAAAAGAATCTTTTTGCATATGATTATTATGAGAATCATAAAGCAATTTTATGATAGTATGGTTTGAGATTTGTAATATCATCCATATTATCACTATTTTTGTGGCATGCTAAGATATGAATTCCATGGCCGCTACAATAATTTCTAGGAAATATGCAAGAAAAAAGTTCAATGAATGGGACAACATAAGGAGAATATTCATATGAGCTAAATGTGCTTGCAAAACATCTAAATGTACTTGATTAAATCAAGAATATGTTTTTCAATGTACTGTCAACTTTTAATTGATTTGTAACTCTGATGAATACTTTTTTGGGTAATAAGAAAAGTCTAAAGAAAAAAAATATTTCTATGAATTATAAGATCAAAAAATTATAATATTATTTACATATGATATTGAGCATAAAAGACCAAAAGAAAAGTCTATGGATGTTAATGGCATTGTAAACTTCCAAAGTTCAAAAAATCCATTGAAAAATAAAAAATATTGAAATGAACTTATCAATTAAGAAAGAATACATCATTCGTGCAAATATTGGCAGTATTACATAAAATGATAAACAAAATCACCACTTTGTCATCATCTTATTGATTACCTTCAAAAAGAATAAAAGATATTTCAAGTGAGTACACCAATGGGCTTAGTTCATGGAGACGAGTAAAGAATAAAAGATACTTCAAGTGAGTACACCAATGGGCTTAGTTCATGGAGATGAGTAGCTATTGACAAAGCCCAATTTTTCTTAGTTCACGGAGATGAGTAGCTATTTCCTGAACAAATTGTAGCCCATCTTTTCCATATTTCAGTGAATTAATAGTTCGATCAAGAAAATCATGATTTGCTTCAAGTGCCTCCAACCTTGCATTTAAGTGTTCAACCTCATCACTCAGGGCTACTCCGCCATTTTTTTTGCCTCTCGTTGACTTTAATTTATTAGTACAGGTGTTTAGCCTACTATTATTTTCATCTTCTCCAATGGGAAATTCAGCTTCCAACATTGGTGAAATGTTGTTTGCTTCAGGAGGAATGCCTTCTACATGTGGGGACAGAGGCTTTTCAAATGAAATCATTTCCTTTTTTTGACTGATTTCTTGAGTCCCACAATCTCCTCCAATTATATTCTGAGGACACAAATTATGTTTAGTTCCTTCACCTTCAGCTATGTCTTGTTGTAGTTCAAGGTTCACACAGTCCGTATCATCTGCATAAATTTCATCACTAAACGCATCATCATTTCCATCAAGTCGTGATGCATCAGCACTAGAAAATAGACGAACATTTTTCTCCAACCTCTTCAAGCATTCAAAGATATACTCCCTCTCATCTTCAAAATCCAGTAAATTTTCTTTAATTGGGTCTGCAGGCCATTCAGAATCTTGGAACATTACACTTGGCAAGTGGTGCTTTTTCCTTCTCCTAGGTCTAACAACATGAGGTGTACTGGTCGTACTATATTCACTTTCACCAGAATCAAATAATGGTTGTAAATTCTTATCTCTTATTGATTCATCTCTGGATTGGTTTCTACAACTTTCAAGCTCAGCCTCAAGATCTTGTATCTCCTTCTCCCTTTCTGTAAGTTGATCGTTTAGCTTTCGAAGTGCTTCCTGTTCATATTCAGTTTGTTCTTCCATCATTCTTAGATACTGCATAACCTCCAATTGCATTGTTGCCTTTTCCTCTTGCAACTTATTGATCATGGCCATAGCTTGATTTGCAGCAATATCTGAAGCATTTCTTTCCTCCTCAAGTTCCTTGTATAGAATATTGAGGGTTTTCCGGTCTATTTCAATCTGCTTTTTTAAACTCTCAACTGAAACATCTTTAACTTCACTAAAAATACTTCCTTCTGCAATCTCTGAATATGATAATTCAGCATCTAGTTTCTTATTAAAACTTGGAAATCCATTAAAGCTTAGAGTATGAAATAATTTGCGATCGTCATCCTTTCTGGAACCCTGGATGACATCATTCCTAGGTGATTGAAGCCACCTAGGAGAAGGAATTTGGGACAGACGCTGCTTTAGATTTTCATGTAGTCTAGCAGATTCTCTTGCTAGGATAATCTCAGAAGTAGACGGGGGCTGAGCTTCTTTATGATCAGAAGTAAGATTGTGGGTAGATTCAATCATGACTTTGTCTGCTTCAGAAGTTAAATCAATTAAATCTGCACACTCTTTGATCTCAACAGGTGAAGTTGATAATGTTCTTGAAACATCTACCTCAGAAAGATCTGTTAGAAAATTACAAGAAATCAGAGTTTACAAGAAAAGATTATGGCCACAAAAGTAGAATTACACAAAGAAGATAGTCAGAACTATACCTTTAGCATTTGAGATTCTTTTAGAAACCGGTTCAGATATTGTTTGAGGTGAAGTTGGACGATTTGGTTTTCCTTCAATGTGGGTCCAGCTGACTTCCTTTAAGCCATGACCAGGATCAGCATTGGATTCAACAAATGATTTATCATAAGAACCATCTTCAACAAATTGACTCTTTGAAACTGATGTAGAAGCAACAGATACAAGAGGATCCGGATGAATAAGATTCTCAAGGACTTCTACTTCTGAAATCAAATGTTGATTAGCAAATTCTTCCCTGACAACTTCAGTCTCGCATGGCTTATAGCTTCCATCATAATCATCATCTGATAACGGAACTTCTGACTCAGGCTCAGATGTAGTATTCAGCTCTTTATATCTGAAATGAGACAAACAGTCAAAAGTGTGACCTCCTGGCTTATATTCAGCTAATGACATAGACAAAACATCCTTGACCTTGATCAACCCATCTTGAACATGTGCTAGTAATCTTACATTAGATAATGAAGTGCCAGGATAAGTCAACTCTTTGAAAATAGATTTCTGATGAGATAGTCTACGAGAACAGCATGAACAAGGCCTTGCAATTGGAGAACCAACATCATAATCCTTATTCAGTAATGAAACACTCGCAATTTCATCAGAGCTTGAATTAAGAAGTTGATTGTCATCATTAAGGCCCACACTGACTTTGCTCATAAAAAATTTATAGTCCTCCGATGTAATTTTAGCAAATGAAACCAGACAAGTTTCACACATTTTACATGCATCAGCAAGCTTTTTGTGAACATGACAAAAGGCGAGAGATGAAATCTCCGACTTATGGGCATCACAAACAAGATCTCTATAAAATTCCAACTTCTCATTGCCTAAGAGATAACCAATCCTTGAGCATAATAAACAAGGAGTCTGTAATTTATAAGAATGGAATATTTTTGAAACCAAGAATAAGCAAAATGCATCAATTAGCAGTAAAAGAATCAATATCCATTCGAAGAAAGCGGAAGAGAGAGCTGTCAAGAATTGAGAAGGGTCTCCTGTTTGTCTGTTGGGACTTATAGGCATGATATGAGAAGACCGAAATCAAACTCGAGGAAAAGAGACCCCAAGCGCTCCTCCCCTATTGATCGCACAAAAAGTATACATGTTGGATTAGTTTAGGTAGAAGCATTTATCATACGAAAGAATACAATTTCAAACAGAAAATTTAGAGCATTATCTTATAAATATCTACTTTTAATGAAGAAATTAACATTTATGCGCTTTGACCAAAATAATACTCCATGCCCACAAAGAGTATAAAATGCGGTTCATTATTAGGAAGCCACAAATGTAAAGAAGTAAAGAAAGCACTCATAAATATTTTCACATAAGTAGAATCGTCCGATATCAACATAACAAAAAATTGTAAAGCACTCAAGCCAAACAAATGTTAAAAAAAACTTATAATATCATATAAAGTTATAAACACTGAATAATAGAGACAATCACCAAAAAGTGTTAATACATACCAATGGTTTTCACCTAAATGATATATTTGTCAAAGCATTTAGTTATAGCCATCAAGCATATGCATACTCATCATAACTCACTTTCATACCCCATTTAGATGAGTTAAAGGAGGTTGAAATTTAAAAAAAAAGGGTGCTAAAATAACACAATTTACAACAAACATTTTAACCAACCATTATCGAGGAATATAGTTTATATAAAAAATTACTAATCACCATACACATTTTTATTTTTTTTTATTATGAAAATTTTATTGTGTTAATACCGTAACAAATTAGGCTCCCCATACAAGTCGTTCTCTTGCATTTACAGAGAGTATTTCTAAAATTCAAATTCTTCATTTCATGATCAAAATGTAGACAACATAACATTTCGAGTCTACAAGAGAAATTTTGACACCGTATACTTCTATAATCCGAAACAAATGTGAAACATAAAAAATATTGTGCAAAATAATGCAGAAAATAAATTCACACAACAAACAAATAATCATACACAATGTGACTTATGTGGTTCGATACAAATCCGCCTATGCCCACGGAAAGAGGTTGTTCCACCAACAATGGGTGGGAAGAAAAGAAAAAATCAATCAAATTAAGGTTACAACTCAATGAGCCTAAATCTTCAACAATTCCTTATATATTTAATAAGAGAAGATTATAGTATGTAAATTAGAAATATTTGAAATATAGGAAAAATCATATATTTAAATCTTCTCAAATTAGATTTCTTAATATAGAAAGATCATATAATAAGACCTCCCCAAATTAGGTTTCATAATTTTAATCTTTCTAACATACACAATTCCTAATTTACAACTTTTAGATTTTATTACTTCTCATAACAAAAAAAATGCTTATCTGGCAAGAATTCAAGGCCCCCCAATCAAAAATTTTTTACCATAAATCAATTAAACAGGAAGCTCAACTTAAAAGAATTCAACAAAAGTGCGGCAAGTGACACACTTCATGGTGACAAAAAATAAATAAATAAACAACTCTTAAAGTCATTGGAAGCAACAAAGAAGAGCGAGATGCATCAAAGAAGCCAAATCCAGCAAGAAAACAATAAAATGACAAAAACAAAACAGGAAGAGTTGGAAAACATTATAAAATAATAATAATAAAGAAAACTAAGATAGTGATTGCAAGAAGATGAATAGATGAGTGTACCCTTAGCTCCTTAAGGATTTGATTCTCCAGACTAGACCTCCTCTGCTGCCTGCAATTATCTCAATTTGCCTGCAACTGCGGCAGAATCGAAGATAAAAGCCCACATTTTTCTAAAGGAAACATAGGCGACCATAAATTAGAAGAAAAGAAAGTTCGTATGGCTACAGAGGGATCTGCCGTCAATAAAGAAACCGTTGGAGGGTCTGAAGATTTTTGAAATCCGACGGTCAGGATCAAACTGTGACTGCGAGGTGGTTGGTCCCCATTTAAGGGACCGTTATTCTTTTGAGGAGGAAAATGCAGCTTTGTTGTACCAGAAAAGTATTAAGTCTAATCCTGGGTGGATTTGGCCTTAAATTATCATTAGTAAACGCGTTTAAATGTTAAAATTTAGTTTTTTATGTTGTTGACCCGATCATGTAAATGCCAGCGATGTCCAGCCAGCTTGAGATTCTTGTGGTTGGCCGATAAATGTGCCTATGAGGACTAGTTTTTCAAATTTTTCCTTGAATAGATGTTCAATGTGCAAAGAAAAAAAGATAAAATTTAAGTATATGTATGATGAGTTTTCTTTTTATTTAATAAATAGTTTGATAGATTTAGTAAAGTAGGTTGTTTGAAATTCATTATGTGTATCAATGAGTGGATGGACTTCTGATCTCAAATGGGAAAATTTAAAATAGTAGAATGATGAGATAGTGGTCATTAATAAGAGATTATGAAAGAGAAAATTTTCTAATATATTAAAGGCCCGATTGGAGACAAGCTAGTTTGGTTTAAGGCAAATTGAGTGAATTAAAGTGATAAAAAGATGTGAACTTGTCAAGGGCATTAAGAATTTTGTAGAACAAACTTGGTCAAAGGCTTGATGTATACCTAAAAATGTCTTGCAAGAATCTCGATGCAATCTAATGCTTCATATTAAAAGAGATAAAATGTGGTTCATACTTCTGGCAAAAAGCCATAAGTACTCAAGAAGTCAATCGGTTAAAAACCGCCAGTCGATCAAAGGGTGGCTACTTATCGAAGCACTCTCAATCAACTTAAGGTCAGTTCAACGACTAAAGAGCCACCTAACCAACTAAGAACATACATTCAAACTAATGAACAAACAAAGGATTAGTACCCCTTAGCAATCTCACAACTATCAATGTGAGGCTTTCCAGATAACTCCCCCAAAGATGGAACAAGCAAGCCAACCGACCACCCTAAGGCTATTCTTCTGTCAATCTCAAAGCCGACCGACATCCATGCAAAAGGTATGGTGAGTGTAGAGCATGCTATCAACAAGAAGATAAGCGACACCAACGAGGAGAAATGCATCTCAAAGACACTCCTAACAGAAAGCAAGCTAAGGAGTTTGTGCAACAACAAATCTGGAGCTAAAAATGTTGTTTCAATTATCTTCCTAGAGGCTTTCGCTAGGATGTGAGTATCGCAAGATGGATGGCCAGCCCCCAACAGTCAAAAGAAGCCGATTGACCGTACCTGCGCATTGCTCGGTTAATTACAGAGGACCAACACTTTGTTTAGCGAATAAAGAGAGTATTAATTCAAAACATATTCCATACTATGATAAATTTTTCTAATATTTTTTCAAGACCAATTGACACCTGGGTGACTTGAATCCAAGTTGCAACGTCAATTGCAAGCCCAAAGAGGTCCAATCTACAGAACAGCCCACAACGTTCCCGCATCGTAAACTCTTGGTCTCCAAGCTTGAATCAGTTAAAGCTCTTGAGGTGGTTCCCTGCCCAATAGCGACAAAGTTCGTGAAGGGTAAGGTGCAAATTACCCAACTAGAGACTCTCGATAAGTACCCATGAAGGCAATAAGAAGATTCACATAAGTCCCTGTGAATGGTGCAGTTCAATTGAGTTGACAAATCAAACCAAAAAAACCAAAACCTTGAAAGGAGTAAGACATGAGCCGGGTGACAATATCATAAAATAAAAAAGATGACTGACAATGATGCTATAGATGTTCGTTCAGCATCCTAACAGCAAATTTAACCCCAACGCCAATCATCAAAAGCCAATTCAAAAGCTCAATATGGATAAAGCTCTAAAGATTATTCCCTGCCTAGTGGCAACAAGTTCCGTAAAGGGTAAGGCGCAAAATATCCCAGTAGGGAGTCTCGGCGATTGCCACTACAAAGGCAACGATAAGATCTGCCTAAGTCCTAGCGAAAAGTGCAACATGACGAAGGTGAAAAATCTGACTAAGCAAAGGAGATCGGTCGCTCAAGAATTGTGTCAGGACTTGACAAATAAAAAATGACAGAAAGTTATTCAAAAGATTCGAGTAATCAACCAACACAAATATTCATCGTCAATCAGTTATCACAAGAAAGTAACACGGTGAAGGTAAAATAAAAAAGCAAAGGTATGAAAAAATAACCAAAAAGTTTTATTCATTTTTAATTTAAAATATACGAGTATTTTCTACGAACATAAATTTCATTAGTATTAGCAAACCAACCAGAGGAGCATCCTTTGCATTTGTTGTTCAAGTCGTCCCCAAAAGTCCCCTTAGAGCCGGTATTAAGAGCGGCAAATTCATCTAAATTTGTGAAATTCAGGTCGATTAGGCCCAACTGAATGAATCATCACTCATTGTAATACTACCGACCCAAAGATGCTCGCCCATAACATTTCCGTGCCACGAGTAGGAAGTAAGCGCCTCAACGACCTCCCATATGCCATTATCGTCACCATCTGTGTCTTTAGCTCTCAGATCTCTTGTTTGGCGATTGACAAAAGATCCAAGAGGGAAGTAACCTCCTCCTTCACAGCTGCCAACTTTCTCTCGGCTATCATGGCTTGCTTTTGAAACTTCTTAGTAAGCCTGGCTGAGATATTAGCCTTTTCTGAGGCAACAACCCACTTTATTTCGGGCCGGTCCAACGCCATTGACTGGATATGGGAACCTTCCATGCCTTCAGATGATAGCGATCAGTATTTTTATAAAGCTCGAATCTTTTAAGGGTCTGGAGAGACTTAGCAAATGCACGTGACCAGATCACTTCCAAGAGTAAACTTCAGTCAACAATGAACCACTATACCACACCTCCTAGACGATGGCTATGCATCGGACATCGGAAAAAAATTCAAATCTTGCCCCTCTCCACAGGGGAACCCTTTCTTTTTTCTTTTTTTTTTTTTTTGATAGGAAAGAGAAAATGGAGTCGACTTAGCAACATGCTCCTTCCCCTCCCTATGTTGTATGTATATATATATATATAACATACTCAGTATTTGAAATAACTCATAAATAACATACTATAACATACTCGGCGTTTGACTCAATTTAAATTTACCGGTTAGTTTCAATTCATATTTAGCTCAAATTTAATTTAAATAATTTTAAAAAAAAATATAACATAAAAATTCAATATAAAAAAAAAATTACAATATATATTATATTAAATCGAGTC